AAAACAATAGTGGGTGATGTGAACTACTGACTCAAATTGGCAGAACAAATACAGAAGGTACCAGGTCATAATGGAGCATCTTCATCCCTCACAACAAATCGTGATAGGGGAATGTGGACGGGGTGAGCGGGACACGCAGAACAAATACAGAAGGTACTAGGTTTTAATGGGGCATCATCATATCTCACAACAAATCGTGATAGGGGAATGTGGACTGGGTGAGCAGGACACACAAATCTTCTAAAGCACTCCCTGCGTGGTCCTAGTGCCTACACTTGTGCTCCCTTCAGAGCAGAATTAACAATAAGGTGACCCCAGGCAGCCACCTAGGTGCCAGGGGTTAGACAGAGGCCCCGGAAGCATGAATTTCCCTTGGCCCCATTCACCTTCCATCATAAGAATTAACACCTGGGAACTAAAGCTGGACTGTTGGGATGTCTGGCATTATTTAAAGTGACCCTGTAACATTTTTCTATTGGTTTTCATTTACTTATGTTTCCTTATTGACTATACTATCTTCCTTGTCACCTGCCTTTATTTATATTTATTTTCATTCCTTGTGCCGGGTCTGAGTACCAGGGGGCACCCATTTTGTTCTCGTCTACCCAAGATGTCAGCTATTTGCCTTACTGTGCAAATGATTTTACTGATGGTTAGTGGTTAAATGAGATTGGTGACGGAAACAAAAACGTAGTTTGACCCCTTAAGGACCAAACTTCTGGGATAAAAGGGAACCATGACATGTCACACATGTCATGTGTCCTTAAGGGGTTAAACTCTGCCCACTGTCAACCTTTGTCAGCTTGGCTGCTATACACAAAGAAAAGTGGTTCCTACATTTCCTTTTGTGGTTTCTGAAAACTAGAATTAACAGGAAAAATATGAAGAGAAATTCTTTAAAAACAGGGAGCTACTGTGCCCTCCACCAGTATTGGCACCCTGGGAAAAATATAAGTTAAGAAGACTGTGAAAAATGGTCTTTGTTGTTTTACCTCTTGATCTTTTGTTAAAAAAAACACAGAAAAAACAAACACTTTGGATATCAAGCAATACTCTCATTCAAAAACAAACTTAAGCGTCTTCAGTTTGCCTTCAAATGGTGAAACCAAAATAGAGATTTTTGGCAATAAACACCAGAGTGGGTTTGGCGCACGCAAAGAGTTAGTCAGATGGAAATGTACCCAGACCTCATGCCCACCGTTAAATATGGTGGTGGCTCTTGATGTTTTCGGGCTATTTTTGCCATAGGACATGGGCCTATTTTTTTTTTTTATATATAATACATGGCATCTTAGAGTCTATCAAATATTAACAGATATTAAATTAACACTTGGCTACATCTGCCAGAAAGCTTAAAATGGGTCATGATTGGATATTTCAGCAGGACCATGATCTAAAACCTACATCAAAATCAACACACATATTCTGTACATTAGGGATTATAGAACAAGACTCCGATGTTATCTTGGCAAAGGGAGGTAGCACAAATGATTGACTTAAAAAGGGCCAATAATTGTGAAACACATATTTAATATATATTATAAATCTGTATTGTGTTTTCACTGGTTTGATATCCATCAGAGCAGAGTATTTTCATGCATTTTATTTTAACAAAAGATCAAATGGTTAAACAATAAAGACAGTTTTTCACAGCCTTCTTTGAGAGATGCGTAACTAGAAACCACGGGGCCCCGGTGCAAAAACTGCCCTGGGGTCCCCCACCATACGTCTACCCCCTCCACCCCCCATATATTGCCCCCTCCATCAGGGCCGGACTGGGGATTCCAAAGCAGCCCTGGAAAAAAAAATCTATGCCAGCCCCATAAGTCATTGCGCCATATATTGTCGCATGTAATATGTAAGGCTATGTCTTGCAACCCTAGATGATTGAGATAGATATATATATATATAAAAACCAAATGGATCTTGCACTCCACCAATTCAATATTCAATGCCCGGTGCTTGTCAGCCAAAAATGCAAAAAATATTGCCAGAGATAGCACTCCAAGGACTAATATAAAATATAACTTTTATTACCTTCACTAAAACAACACAAGGTCAACGTTTCAGCTTGATCCCCTCAAGCTTTCGTCAGGACATCTCCTGACGAAAGCTTGAGGGGATCAACAGGGGCGTACCTAGGGCATGTGGCACCCGGGGCGGGTCCTGGGTTTGGGGCACATTTTACGCTCCCTTCTCCCAAAGTAAAAAACCTACTACATTTTTAAAAAAAAATATTGAACAAATTTGTAAACTTTTTAAAACCAATGCCCCCCTCTACAAAATCCCTGCACCCCCTCACACACAGTTACAGGCAGACAGTCACACACAGTTACAAGCAGTCACACGCACACAGTCACATGCAGACAGTCACACATATAGTCACAGGCAGTCATACACACAGTTACAGGAAGAGAGTTACACACAAACACAGTCAGTTACAAACAGTTACACACAGTCACGCACACTGTTACAGACAGACAGTCACATATACAGTCACACACCGTCACAGGCAGACAGTCACGCACAAAGTTACAGCCACAAACACACACATTTACAGGCAGTTACACACAAAGTCAGTTACAGGCAGTCACGCACAAAGTTATATGCAGGCAGTAACACACAGTTACAGGCAGCATCACACAGTCACAGGCAGACTGTCACACACACACAGTTACAGGCGTGCAGTCACACACACACACACACACAGTTACAGGTAGACAGTTACACACATGTACACAGTTACAGGCAGACAGTTACACACACACACACACATATTTACAGGCAGACAGTTATACACACACACACACACACACAGTTACAGACACACATAAGACAGACAGTCACACACACACACACACACAGTTACAGGTAGACAGTTACACACACGTACACAGTTACAGGCAGACAGTTACACACACACACACACAGTTACACACACACACACAAATTTACAGGCAGACAGTTATACACACACACAGTTACAGACACACAAGACAGACAGTCACACACACAGTTACAGACTAACAGTCACACACATACATACACACACAGTTACAGTCACACACACACATAGTTACAGACAGTCACACACACACACACACACACACACAGTTACAGACAGTCACACACACACACACGCACAGACACAATCACACACACATAGTTACAGACAGACAATCACACACACACAGTTACAGACAGACAGTCACACACACAGACACACATAGTTACAGACAGACAGTCACACACACACACACAGTTACAGACTGACAGTCACACACAAACACACACACAGTTTCAGGCAGACAGTTACACACACACACAGTTTCAGGCAATTACACACACACACACACATACACACACACACACACTCTTATACTTACAGACAGTGTGGGCTGGAGGAGTGGATTCCCTGGCCTGAAGTCCTTCCCTAGAGCCTGTTAGGTGGAGGTGCAGGGATTTCTTCTTGCTGCACCTCCATGTGCAGCAGTTACAGCAGCTGTAAGGGCCATGTTAAGCCCCGCCCCCGCTCGCGGTTAGGCTCCGCCCCCTATACTGCAGTAGCTCCGCCCCTTCTTCATCCCGTGCGGCCAGTTCCTCTTGCTGGTCTCCGTCCCCAAGACCAGGGTCAAGGCACCCCCGTAGCAGGTGGCACCCGGGGCGGACCGCCCCCTCCGCCCCCCCCTTAGTCCGCCACTGGGGATCAAACTGAAACGTTGACCTTGTGTTGTTTTAGTGAAGGTAATAAAATGTATATTTTATATTAGTCCTTGGAGTGCTATCTCTGGCAATATTATATATATATATGTCTTTTTCCAATATAAAATATTGGTCCTTTCAGAGTAAAATTTTTAATTATACAGTAAGCATACTCACATGCATACACAGACAATCTCACTGACACAAGCGGATTGATACACAGCCTCATACATAAGGTTATTGACATAAAAACACAAGTTCACTCAGTAGCAGGCACACACACACAAGCAAGCGCGCGCACACACACACAGCTTAATGTAGTGGTATTGGTGTCTATAGCCTGTCCCTGCAGGCTTTTCAATGTAAACACTGACTTTTAAGAGAAAAGGCAGTGTTTACATTGCTTCCTAGTGACAGTCACTCAGACGGTCACTAGAGGTGCTTCCTGTGTCAGTGCGGATTGGCTGAGATCCTCAAGCTTGATGATCTCAGCCGTAGAGGCAGGGCGAGGGGAGACCAGCATGACGTGGGAAAAAAAAAAGTGAGTAAAAACACACATACACACACATACCATGACACAGACAGACCGTGACACAGACAGAAACACACACACTCCCTGACAGACACACCATGACAGACACACACACCATAACACAGACAGACCGTGACACACAGACACACACCACGACACAGAGAGACCGTGACACAGACACACACACTGTGACACAGACAAACACACATTACATGACACAGACAAACACACACACACACCATGACACACACAGACCGTGACACAGACAGACACACACACCATGACACAGACAGACCGTAAAACACAGACCACGACACAGAGAGACCGTGACACAGACACACACACACTGTGACAGACAGACACACATTACATGACACAGACAAGCACACACACACACACACCATGACACACACAGACACAATGACAGACACACATTGCATGACACAGACGCACACACCATGACAGAGACACACACACCATGACACAGAGACACAAACAATGACACAGACACACATTGCTGACACAGACAGACACTCACACACCATGACAGACAGACACACACACACACAAATGAAACACACACACACACATACACAATTTCTACCTGTGTGGACTGGCGGCTGGCGGCTGCAGAGGGAGCTCCCTTGCCGGCCGCAGGGGGAGCTGGCTGTTCTTGCCGGCCGAAGGGGGAGCTGGCTGTTCTTGCCGGCCGCAGGGGGAGCTGGCTGTTCTTGCCGGCCGCAGGGGGAGCTGGCTGTTCTTGCCGGCCGCAGGGGGAGCTGGCTGTTGTGTCTCTGCTCCCCCTCCCCAGCGCACTACAAAGAGACCGGGGCCGGAATATGACGCCATATTCCGGCCCCCAGCCTCACTGTGCGGCGCGCAGGGGAGGGGGAGCAGAGACACAACAGCCAGCTCCCCCTGTGGCCGGCAAGAACAGCCAGCTCCCCCTGCGGCCGGCAAGAACAGCCAGCTCCCCCTGCGGCCGGCAAGAACAGCCAGCAAACCCTGCGGCCGCCAAGGGAGCTCCCTCTGCGGCCGCAGGTGACCCGGCTGTCTGCCCGGCCCCAGGTGCCGACGGCCCACCGGGAAATTTCCCGGTATCCCGGTGGGCCAGTCCGGCCCGGCCCTCCATACATGCAGATTGATACACATGCAGACACACACATATACACAAAAACACACATACATACAAACACACACACACACATATACAGACACACACATACACACAGAGAAACATTCATACAGACACACATACATACAATCAAACACACACATATCCAAGATATTTTAGTCACGCTCCTGTTTCCTACCTTTTAGGTGCAGGACGGTAACTTTCCCTGGGGTCCAGTGGTGGCTCAGCCTGATGTGAGTCAGGGTTCCCACTCTGACTCCCTCCTCTTCCTCCCACATGGCGCTGTATATAAGCTGGGAGAAGTGACCAGGGCAGTCACTTCCTCCCAGTTGTGAAGTCATTATAGGGGGCCCAGTCATTCTGTTAAAGCAACACAGCGCTGACCGGGCCCCCTGGAAATGCATTTCCATTGGGTGGCCCTAACAGCATGGGCACCCAATGGACCACTTTAATGTGGGCAGGAACGCAACACATGGCAGAGGGCACCGCGGTTGCGGGGGTCCACAGGGAGGCAGGGCCCCCTGGGGCGGCGGGCCTGGTCTCATCTGCGACCCCTGCAACCGCAGTAGTTCCGCCACTGTTCTTTGCTCATATTTACCAAGGGTGCCAATATTAGTGGAGGACACTGTATATAGAAGCAGAATAGATTACGTTTATTTTTGGTGACAGATAAGGGAGTCGGAATGAGCATAATAATGATGTATAAAGACTACAAATATGAACTCCTGTGCACATCAGTTACTGAATGGATGATCTTCAGCAAGTGTATTTTTTAATCTATACATTATTTTCACCAGCACAATCAATTAAATCTACACTTACCTGAAGGTCAATCTGTCATCCACACATGTTACAGCTGACAGGTTCACGTTAAATTTAAGCAACAGAACAAAAAAAAAAAAAAATCAATTTCAATCTTCGAAATGATTTCCTCCACTGGCATTCGTAGCGTTAAAGGCAAGTTCTAAGCGCCACTTAGGTCCTAGTACACGTTCGGGCGCAGGAAGCTCCCGGTCTCTCCTCATCTTATTGATTAAAGATGCAGTAATATACAAACCACCCTGTAACTACATGCCCACTTTATGAACCTACCTGAAACACAGATCTCTATATATACTCTGCAGCGTGTCAGATTTCAGTTTACATACGTTTTGTGGGGGCCAACACACACACACACCATTTGTATGAATACAAAATGCATTTTAGTATGCTGAACTGATTGGAAATATTACAGCAAACAATTATAAAAAAAAAACAAAAAAAAAACCCTCATAAAGATAATAGCTGAAAGCACAGTTTAAAAATGTAGGAAATGGTAATAAAAAGGAAAATACCAAGGTGGATTAAGGCAGTTAGCTAGGAAATTAAAGAAAAAAAATGTAGCAAAGTCATTCGGTACATAGCTGTACCGAACGTCTTGAGTCGCACTGCAGTTAATGTTATGGAAATGCGGGATTTATAGATTGAGGGTTTATTAGAAATAACAAAGGCTTAAATATAACAAAGCATCTCTTTATTGGTTAAAAAAAAAACAACAGGCAAATGCACATAAAAAAAGTGATAAAAGCTCAAAGACGCACAATGCAAATGTCACGGGGAGAGCAGGTGACTTCTACAAGAAACTGTATAAGAACACAGAGAAACGTGAAATATAATTGAGTAGAGAAGCCCAAAGGGAGGAAAAAAATTGCCACTGGTACACAATGTATTCTTCCAGAAGCAACAGCAATAAAATCCATGAAGAATGAAAGGGCCCCAGGGGATTCTGGGATAAGAACTGAAACTATGAAGTAAGCCAGAAAAGTAGTAGCACCAGAAACATGTTCCTTCAAAAACAAGAGACTGAAGGCCAGTGGAGCATGGATAGTTATGCTCATTTATAATAAAGAGGCACAAAGACATAAAACAAAAAATCTCGTTTCCAATGTCTAACAAGATTTTATGATAATGAGCATTAATTGGCTGAAACAAGCTTTTACACACGTTAGGTTGCATTCGAGCTTTATATTCCGTGAAAAAAAAATTAGAAATGCAGCCAGTACTGTTAACAGCCAGGAACCCTTGGTCAATGTCACAACAAGGACAGCAGCTCACTATGTTGGCAATGTTGCGTTCTTAAATGGAATGCTGGGATTCTTTTATAGCCCAATCAGAAAGGCAGTTACTGTATTCGAACAAGACTGAGTAATATGAGATAACTGTATCTCATTGTTATATAGCCAGTTTTTTATTCAACAAATGAAATGCTGTTACACGAAGACGTATGAACAACTGCAAAAATACTACACAAATACCTCAAAAGGCACAGAAAGGGTATCATGAGTTTGAACCTGAAGACTACATAAATTATTTATAGAACTCTAACGTTAGGAGAATGCAAGAATGCGTAAACAGGATTAGAACCCAACCGATGAATTTGAGTTTCCTGTAGGTTAGGTCAATCTAGGCATTGGAGAATGCCTCAGTCAGGGATGGTCAAAAGATAAGATCTACTGAAGTTAGAGGATACTTTTTGGACACCTTTCTTAGGTCATACCAAAAAGTTGACTTTCAAAAGCAATTAATTTATCCAAGGAATGAAATAGTGGTGGATAAATGTAAGAAAACATTAGAAGATATATATATATATATATATTTACAAGCCAACCTGAGCTTGTGTAGGCTATAGGAGAGGGATAGAAGGTTTTGGAAAACCCTTGTAGAGCTAGCAGTGAGTTTCCTTTTAGAACATTAATCTATAAAAACATGGATTGTAGCAAGTCCTGATATAATATTGCTAAGGTTTGAACAAGAGTGGTCTCCTTGTATCTAACTAAAGCCAGAGATTTCTGGAACTAGCTATATCTTGTATGTCTCATCAACAGCAGCTATTAAAATGAAGGTCTAGCAAGGCCAGGAATTTCATGCTGGGTAGAATATGACAGATGCATTTGGGGTATTCCCAGAACAATGTAGAGTAGAACTCGAACCAAATGCACGGCCATGCTGTGGGATGCGCTGTACAGATTACTGTTATTGCACAGAGACAATATTTGATTTGATTCCAAAGAGTTTCAAAGAACAAGAAATATGATAATTATCCAAAGAATGAAAAAACAGATGTAGTCGGGAAATTAGTTTTTAGAAATTAGCAAAGTGAAAAAGAGACAATGCAATGTGATTTGGAATACAGAAGACTGGAACCAGGCAAGGCTGTACATATGAAATGAAATAAAAATATAAATATAATAAAATAAATATTTACGCACCATAAAAAAAATCTTTTAAAAAATTATAACTCTTATAATATATAAATATAGATTTTTTTTTTTTACAGCTCCTCTTCTTTTTCCCTGCAAATGGTTACTTTTTCTCACTTGCTCTGTGAACCAGATGGCTGGAATATGCTCCTATCACTGTACTGCAAAATATATACATACTATTTAAATGGACCATTTTTGTGCCTTTTTAGTTTTTCTGAATCAATTTCCCAAAACATTTTCCAGGCCAATATTTAAACAAGCAGAACCATCAACTGAATAATTAGGCCCAAAACTAATTATTATTATTTTGAAAAAAAATTTTTAAGCAAAAATGGTTTGGCCAGACCAAATTTTACTGCCGTGCACAAGTATGGTATAAACATTGCCAGCAGGAGGCATCCTCTGCCATACATCTAAGATGACAAAGAAGTCATGAAAACACAAGATTATGTGGAATATTTCAATGTGGGAGCAATTTTTGCACATTTGCACTCTTCTCATATACTATAGGAAGAAGACAGGACCTCATCATAAACTACCCACCCATACAAGTTGTTATGGTACTTAGAGTGCCACCTTTACATTGTTTTGAAACATTTAGAACATGGATTAAGTCTTTCCTGCTATCTTCCTGGATTTTACAAAAATCTTGCCTTCGGCGACACCAATTTTAAGCAATGCATGTTTTGGCGGAGGCTCTCTACATTGTTAACGTAAGGCATCCTTAGCTCTTTGTATGGTCCACCCATGTTCACGAAATACGAAAATATAGACACGGTATATATTACAACTAACCATGACGTGGTGCGTCAGGTGCGGTAAAATAAATTTAATTCAGGCTTATAAATCGGCCCTTCGGCCTTCTCTTCTTAATTTGCATTTTGTTGCAGGGACAAGTCTGAATGGAAGCAGCAAGGTGCAAAATATGAAGACATTGCAAAAACAAGTATGCATGTATAAAAACTACACACAGAAAAATGCCGACGCACCCAAACTTCTATCGAAAAAAATATATATAAATAAGCATATACAAGTGTGAGGATTGAATAGATTAAAACATAGTTGCAGTTTATCTTTAAAGACTCTCTCCTCTATTAGAAAGCAAGTCCCATTTCCCCCCCTACATGTCTTCATTTCTCTTATTTTCTAAGCTTGAGCACCTGCCAGGAATTACAGCGTCCACACTGGAATAAACAGCTGCAATCAACCACAATTGTACCCTGAATTCAGCCCTATTCTCCAGAAATTCAATCGCTCATCCTCCGGCGCAGCAGGAGGGGCTGGCAGGCTGAGGAGCCTGGCACCTCAAGGACTATGGGATAATTGGAACAGACACAAAGAGCCTGGTTTTTTTGAGGAATTATGGGAATAAAAAGAAGCAGAAGACACACAGATGAAAAAAAAAAAAAAAACTGGGATCTGTGCATGATTAAAATAAATAAATAAATAAAAAGTAAAAAAAAGTTTCCAATGAATTGAAATGATTAATCCTCGGGCGACATATATGCTTGCGAACTTGTCAAGATGTGTAGAGAGATT